TAAACCCATTTTCCCGGGACTTGAGGGAGGGCACGGTCCCTTTAATGTTGCCAACAGCATTAAAGAAGTTTCCAGGGTGTTTAAAAATATTTAAAAGGCTGAAAATTTGTTGTTTTTTAGTTGAATCAAAGATTAAAGTACTTAATCCCTTGTCTAATCCCTAGCACACTATACATTGAATTAAATCCAAGGATCACTTCACTGTACAGTGTAGTTGTATTAATATCTAAGTACTGTGGCTTGAATGTAAGCATGTGCTTGAATAGTATATCTAGGCACTAATCCCTCAAGCCTAAGCCTGTATAATGAGAAGCCCTGGATCTAGGATAATGCCTGAAAGTTCGGCTTGAAATCTACTCAGAATTAAATCTTTTTCAAGGATTTCTATGTTTACAGAACCTTTATATTTAATTTCACGCACCAACGAACTAACACTTTTCAACACTAACATATACGGTCAAATAAATCACGCATATTCATGTTTTTACGCAAAATATAAAAATTCGAGAAAAAGAAATTTTGTTGATTTATTTATTTGTTTAATTTTCTCAGTCAAACAAAATTGTGGTCGGATGGTTTACTCTAAATATAATTTCTAAATCTCTACCCTCCTCTAGTCCTTATACAGTAGTAACTCTAAATAAAACAAACAAACATTAACTTTTAAGCATATAAAGACATTTTAAGGGTTGCAAATATCTTGACGTTTGTAAAAAAAACTGCATATTCCCGCCCAACCGTAAATTTGAACTTTTTGACACTTATTTTAAAATTTTCATAGAATCTCGACCAGTTTCACTGTTTACTGAATTAGTTAACATTTGCAGTTTGCGGCCCAAACCGACAAGAAATTTCATACAATTTATTTTTTGCCAATTAAATTTTACGCATTCGTTTTTAAGGCTCAAATGCACTTGTTCTTGGCGCTTTCCTTAACTATGAATTAAGTATGAATCATTAATTCTTATTTTCCACTTAGATTTTAATTATCTAATTGCTTAATTAGCCCCATAATGATTTTTTAATATATACTATTTAGATCTGTTTACAAAGGTTTATTGGGAAAATAGTTATTTGATTAAACTCGATTTGTTTACATAATACGTTTTCCCTTAATTAAAGTATTTTTGCAAAAAACTCTAATTTTCTAATCCTATATTTTTGTATTCTGATTGTGTAAACCTTTGTGTATTTAAACTATATTTTTTGCTGGATCCAACAGTCAGTGTTTTAAATTTTACAACCTTACACCATCAGATTGCAAAGATTTAGGGATTAGAAAATTAGAGCTGATGCCAAGTTGCTCAGTTCCTTTTCACTTTTATTGCTGTTGATTAAGTGTAAAGCTATGTTATTTTCTAGTAACATTTTAAGCTTAATTTCGAGAATTTAAAATTGATGGATTATCAAAAAAAAAAAAAAATTATTTTAGGCAACATGTAGATTGACGAGGCCCTTTATGTGCATGTTCATGTTCAGGGTGTACGGAGTGCAGGAGGTGTTGGTCAGGATGTACATAACAAGAGTCAGCTGGATAATATCGTTGGCAGCCTCTGGCAGGCTAGACAGGAGTCCTCAGGTTCCAGCTTAGGAAACCAGGTAAATATATATACCTCACCTCAATATATATATATAT